TATCAAAGTGAACTGGTTCTTCTGTGATTGTATGTCATGATGCTGATTGGACTTAGAAATGGAACCAATGGAACATTGGAATCTGTCTCCATGATGCAACAGAACGTGATGTTACTCCCAACCATGAAAACTTGATCGTGAGGAAAGACAGTTGTTGTTGTAGCATTTAGATCTTGTCCTGTTATTTTATAGGCAAAACAGTTAAGTTATTGGTCAGTTGTCCTGCTCTTTTGCATAACACATGCATAAAGTGTAAGAACAACCTGTGGCTACAAACCGTTGTACGTATATAATGGTGTCCATTCACCAATGTAATGCTGATCTCGATGCCTAAGTCTGACCGAATGAGAAGTGCACTGCAGCGGTATAGGTGAGGTCCATTTCCAATGATAAAAGGTTGTTTTGTTTGGCATCACATGTATAGTTTCCTAAAACAGTTATTTCTCATTGAAAAAAATGACCATATGCATATATTTCCATTGCTTTTGTAAAAAAATCACACTTACACTGTGAACTGTCTTCATCTCTTCAGTACGAAGGACCTCTATGTCGTAGCTGATTTTCTCGAATTCATCATTTTCAGCAAACTCATCTCTCCATGCAACATTCAACACCCATGCACCATTATTAGATGTGTCCGTTTCCTCTGCATACACTTTCACCTCTTTTATAGGAACTGGGTGCCCTGTTGATACATATTATAATTCAGTTCTTCTATCAATGGTCTCAACTAACAATTGAAATATGATGGTATTGTATTATTAACATTTTCTGAAAATGCACTCATCATCAGGCCATCCAAGATGTAGATGTGTTTGTTTCTTTCGTAAGAAACAAATCCATCAAGACATTTTAACTTTAAACCGCTCTGGCCAATAATCCATAATAATACATAACGCTTTCTCCAGTGAAAAAGTCCATCCCCTGCTGTCCTCTCACATCTAAATCCAGTGACGCATGTTTTTAGAAATGTTTTGAATTGTTTTCACTTTTAAGCAGTGCTTAATCTGTGCATATTTCTCTCCCGATTCAGACGAGATGACTTTTTCCACTGGAGAAAGCAATATTATAGAAGACTCATTTGAAGACGAGGTGGATTTATTTATTACAAACTCGCAGCTTTTCACTACACAAGAAGTTAATTGATGGACTGGAGTCGTGTGGATTACTTGGGGGCATTATTGTGATGTTTTTATCAGCTGTTTGGACTCTCATTCTGACGGCACCCATTCACTGCAGAGGATCCATTGGTGAGCAAGTGATGTAATGCTAAATTTCTCCAAATCTGTTCTAATCAAGAAACAAAATCATCTAAATCTTGGATGCCCTGAGGGTACAAATTTTTAGCAAATGTTAATTTTTTGTTGAACTATCTCTTTAAAAGTTTCACAAGTTAAATGCGTTCAAGACTCACCATCCTGTTTTGTTTGGCCAATCAGTGAAAAAAGCAGAGCACACAAAAGCCAGACTGGCATGATTGATCTCAGGAGATTCTGCACAAGAAATGGCTCACAAGTGTCTCCATTAGCAATTAGATCTGATAAGGAAACAAAATGGTTCTAATCAATTAAGCATGGCTGAATAGCATCTTCTAATAACGTATAAAAGTGGAAATAAGTTATCTTTCTTCCCTAATGGGTTTTAATTTACAGGACACGGAGATAGTAAAGTGGAAGGAGAGAGAAAAAATGGAATCATCAGGACATGATTCAACACAAACTCAAACTGCATTACCTTGAGTATGTGCAGTATCTACTGCACCACAGCCCAACCTGTTTCTTTTTTAAAATAAAAACTAGATTATTTTGTTGATTTTTATTATTTGGACAGTAACCCTTAAACTTATTTGTGATTCAGGTATACAAATAGTACAACTTTTCTTGTTCTGATGGAGAAACTCTAAACCCTCTATTCATGTTGATGTGAAGTATGAAAAGACTTTCAAAAAATGAAATGTTTTGCTCATAAGACCAGAAATGGATTATGAACAATAAATAAAAATCAAATCAAACATAATTCATTAGGCAATTAAGAAGCAGCAATTCCGATTATTGGTGCATTACTACTGGAAAATTAGAGGCTTAAAGTCTGTTGTAGATAAGACTATCATCATTTATGATCTGTGGCTATGAAAATGAGTAAACTGTAAACACACCACAGATGGTGACTGAACAGACTTCTAAACAATAACATCAAATACAAATCCATTACATGTTTAACCGAGAGTTAAATTATGACTAATATTGACAATATTGTTTTTCCAATCACAACACACCAGAAACATGAAGTGCAATCATTTTAGAGATCACTTAATATGACTGAACACCATGGATGACTGGGAATTTTGTAAATCCTTTATATATTTTGCTTTCTCATCTGGATTTCACACACCATATGTACCCCATGTGTGTTTGTTTGTTTATTTTGCAACATAATATACATGGTTTAATTTTTGTACTCTGTTGAGAGTTCAATTGTTCAGAACATCTCTTCAGTTGCTACATGGCCCAAGAGTTGATATTTTTTGTGTGAAAAGATCCATATTACTCATAGGTCTTGCAAAGTAATCATTCTTTACAGATGATGTCAGGACCATGTGCCTGCTTTTTTTTTTTAAAAAAAGGAAATATTTTACAAAACGTATTTTACAATTAATAACTGATTTCACTAAAAACGGAACCAGTGTGTTATATAAAAATATACCTAATCTAATCAAATAGAATTAATCGAATAAGTGAGGCAAAGAACCGTAATGAACCGTAATAGTTAGTTAACATATATATAGTTACATATAGTTAGTCATATTATAGGTTCATTGATTCGTGTCATTAGAACATAAACATTACACAAAGCCTTTCTTGAGAAGTTAAAAGAATTACGAGAAGAAGAAGAAAACACCCACCTGTTAAAGTGTTCGCAGGTTTCCTTAAATTATTTTCGCCCAGAGCTAAACATGTAAAACTGATCAGAGCCGCGTCTTGGAAAACAGTTCACTCGTTCACTAGCAGAAGTGTGAGAACGTGTAGTGGGAGGATCTCAGTGGAAGGGTGCGTGTGGGAAGATACGAGAGTCCCTTTGGAAAGGGAATCAAGAATAACAAGTTTATTAACCGCTGTGTGTTTTAATGGCAACACGTTAAAACGATTCCCCAACGCCATCTCGAAGATTTTAGGCTAATATCGATATTTTCCTGCGTACAGTAGCCTACTCGGTACAAGATGAGAACTCAGTAGCCTACGTTAAGTAGGAAGGAATGTGGATTACAGGTCCATTTCAAACCGTCAACGCTGACTGGAGAAATCAGTATGGATCTAAGGTAAATTGTTATTAAGAGATGAGAATACTACAGTCATATTAGTAGATAAAAACATGATCGTATCGGACAAAATATGCAAAAAACAAAAACAAAAACAAAAAAACACAAGGGAGGGGATTGTATCCAATGACTGACTGTTCTGTGGAAAGCGACGGAAGCCTTTCTCTGGAATTCTTGCGAGCGCAGCTGGCCCGGGCTGAGCATAAGGACTTTCTGATTTGGGAAAAAATAAAAAAATAAAAATCTTCTTGCGAGAAACACCAAACAACAATGAAACACTTGAGAAATGAGTCAAGGAAATTGAGGTTTATTTTATCACGTACGCATCCCTTTCATTAGATTCTCAAGGCCCATCGCCCATAACCCCTCCCCTCAAAACACTTTAAATGATACAAGAAAGCTCATAATTAAAGAAACATATGTACAACAGTTTTAGATGTTTTTCCCTTCAGGAAAATATAAATAACACTTCTTGCATCAGTCTGCAATGTCATTTTTAAATGGTGCTTACATTTCATAGTGCTCTGCAAAATCATGAGTGCACATAAAAGGAAAAAAAAATCACTTAAAGCCAAGGTGCAGTTAGTTTTAGTTGTACAATGAACAAATAGGCTATACATTTAAAATATATGCATTTCCTTTACACTCTTAGCATTATTGGTGATGGAGAAAACAACCCTTTTAAAATGCTTGGAACTTGTTCCACAAATAGTTAACTGCAATAATTGGCGTTTGTTATTATTTCAAAGGTTTTAAAAACACCAGTACATTTTTTTTTATCAATTCAAAAATTCTTTTCAAAACAATTTGACAATGGCTTCCGGTCATGGGCTGCACATAAGCCCTAGTGAAAACAGGAGGCAAGAAAATAATAAACCATGATTTAACACTGTGGAAAAAGACCCACAAATAACCATCTGACATTCTGGGATATTTTCAGCACACCCTCTGATACTAATGACTTTGCGGAAATTATTTATCTAAGAACACTTCCGAAAATATTAGGGGCAGATTCCAGATTTATTTTGTTCAAAAAGAATATTTCATAAGTGTCTTAATTACTGTTCAATGTCCAGCCA